ATACTTTAGTAATACTTTGGTGTTTTGATGCACAGACTCAATAATGATGAATAAGTACCCTAAGTTGGTTGTTTAATTGATAAATTCAACTTCTAAAATGCCAAATATTTCTTTTTCCATTAACATTTCAAAGCAAATGGATGCAGATCTTTGTTGTCATGGATTTACGTGAAAGTTGGTTAGCCTTGTCTGCGATCCAAGGAACATGTCGACATGTATGTATATTACCCAAAAGAAGTTAAAGAACACACGGTATTTTCATATGTCAAAAGTTAAACTGTTTTGTGTTGTTTTACTATTTTGAGTAGTATACATGCACTACATACATGTAGTTTCCCATACACGTCAGAGACTGTATGATTCACGACACCACAATACGACTTTACTGCGCTGAGAAATTGGATAGACACATTCCCTTCGGACTAGTAGGCTTGTGAATATTTTATCTCGATTATTTTACTTTTAGACAAAACAATAAGGTCTCGCGAGAGGGTGCCTTTGGGGATAATTTAAACTTTCGGTATCACTCTTCAATCAATCTTACAAGTTCTGCTGATGAGGGTTATCTTTTGAGCAATGTCAAAGGAATATGTTGATCTAGATCTTACCCAGTAACTTGATACAGGTTGTATGGCCGAAACTGGTGACATAGCCTCATAGATGTTATTGTTACAGCCTTTATGGATATTATTGATACAGCCTATGATGTTATTGTGAATACAGCCTGCATGATTTTTATTATGAATACAGCCTTTATGGTTGTTATTGTGAATACAGCCTGCATGATTTTTATTATGAATACAGCCTTTATGGTTGTTATTGTGAATACAGCCTGCATGATTTTTATTATGAATACAGCCTTTATGGTTGTTATTATGAATACAGCCTATATGATTGTTATTATGAATACAGCCTATGTGCTTGTTATTATGAATACAGCCTATGTGCTTGTTATTATGAATACAACATATGTGCTTGTTATTATGAATACAACATATGTGCTTGTTATTATGAATACAGGATATATGGTTGTTATTATGAATACAGCCTATGTGCTTGTTATTATGAATACAGCCTATGTGCTTGTTATTATGAATACAACATATGTGCTTGTTATTATGAATACAGGATATATGGTTGTTATTATGAATATAGCCTATATGGTTGTTATTATGAATATAGCCTATATGGTTGTTATTATGAATATAGCCTGCATGATTGTTATTATGAATACAGCCTATATGGTTGTTATTATGAATACAGGATATATGTTGTTATTATGAATACAGGATATATGTTGTTATTATGAATACAACGTATATGGTTGTTATTATGAATACAGCCTGTATGGTTGTTATTATGAATACAACCTATGTGCTTGTTATTATGAATACAGGATATATGTTGTTATTATGAATACAGGATATATGTTGTTATTATGAATACAGGATATATGTTGTTATTATGAATACAGCGTATATGGTTGTTATTATGAATGCAGCCTGTATGGTTGTTATTATGAATACAGCCTGTATGGTTGTTATTATGAATACAGCCTGTATGGTTGTTATTATGAATACAGCCTGTATGGTTGTTATTATAAATACAGCCTGTGTGGTTGTTATTATGAATACAGTCTATACGGTTGTTATTATGAATACACTCTATATAGTTGTTATTAGAAATGCAGCCTGTGTGACTGTTATTATCAATATAACCTGTATAGATGATATTAGTAATATAACATGTCTCAATGTTTAATGCAATACAGTCAGTTCATACATAAAGGTTGCCTGTATAGACCAAGGCAACAGAAGCTTTATGCCAAAAACATAAATTGAATGAGTTATATTCAAAAATTTATTCCATCAAGTTCAAAACATCGGTTACTGTCGATGTGGGTGACATGCGTATAGGTCAAGGTCAAGGTCGGGTCATGTGTTGAAGGAGCCAATTATTGAACAACCCATCGATGACAATGTACATGAAAACATACCGAGTCCCAATTGACTGACGACAAGCTTTGCTAAATACATAAGTTAGGCATCCTTGTCAATAAAACCCCGACTACAAAGAGATACTAACGACCACTAGATTCAATTAGCACATACCAGCCCATTAATCTGGATATTTGACCTTTGAATTAATACCGAATTCAGTCAACAGAGTAACGACTGTCTCCGTAATTGCTCACATGTGATGAAAATAGGCCAACTTCGTCATCAATTGGGTTGAATCATTTGTCATTTATCTTTAACTCATCAAATGCGCAAAAATCGTACGGTTTTTCGGACCAAGATCGGCCTCTTCAAAGGCAAGTTAATTAGCGTTATGTCTTCTGGCTTGGCCGACGAGAAACGATAGTATCTACTCCTCGGCAAACATTTTTTTTAATTAACCACAACTATTTCTCAATGGCTTTACACATGGTGAACGAATCACATGTTATCCATTCAATCCGGAAAATATCCACAACGACAATGTTTGACAGATCAATACGACTCCATTGATCTTCAGGTATCGCGTGAGATAGGCAAGCTATTGTGTAATGGATTAACACAATTGGCATTGCCAAGTCTCACATTAATCTTGAATTATTTAATAACCTGCTTGATACATGGACAGATTCTTTTATATAATCGTGGCAGGTAAATATTTCATTGTGATCGCGATAATGGGATTACAAGGCGTGAACAGGCATTTAGAGCACAAGCTTGCTTATTGATTTTGTACCCATTCCGGAGCTGGTCTTGATGAATATTGCTGAAATGCGCTTCTGGAAGAGCAAGATGTGCTTATCCTTTTCGCAAACACCAGGTGTCATCGCTGATTTTCAGTGATCCATTCATATAATTTTAATCACTCTTTTGCCTTTTACGCCCAGTGGAATCTGTTTCGGCAGAAAATAGAGATTATTCCCAGGGTTGAGTTTTATGCTTATTTTGTGTTGCCATACGAACTATATGATGCAGACGTTGTCAGAATATTGCTCATCTTCATATCGTTGACTGGCACTGGATCTCAGTGGTTTGTAGAATACAAGGTACCGTCACATAGCTGGGGTATTGCTGAGTGAGGCGTTAAAGAACAAACAAACTAATGGTATATTTTTTCACTTTTTTTTACCCAACGGATTCAAGGCCAGAATAGACACGGGTAGTCCATGCTTTTTTAAAGAGCTGGATAAAATGAACACCGGGTGTTTATGCTGGAGCACTGTCTGAGTGCGTGGCGTGACCTGGGTGTGTGGATTGTTGAGTGAGTGAGTTGGGTTTAACGCCGCTTTTAACATTATTCCAGTCATATCGCGGCGTGTCAGCTTAATGTGGGAGGAAAGCGCGAAGTGATGCAGGTCTCAGATGATTACCACTTCGGTGAAACCCACGAGCACGGGTATGGTGCTGACAAACCTAGAAACATAATTGGGGCGTACCGGGATTCGAACCCACAATCATAGGTTTCTGGCGTGCCCAAGGGGCGCAACTCTGCACAGCGAATCGCGGCGCCTTAGACGACAAGGCGGATTGTTGCCTCTGTATCAGCCGACGGTATTGCTGGTCGGGATCACTGACCTATGTGATGAGTAGAGAGTACTGACCATCGTTAACCCGAACTAACTTAACTCGGAACTTATTTAATTCGATGGATCGTGCATCTTTATGTCATTTTCACGGTTCCGGGACTTGGCGTTTATGATGCTTCTATGTAACTATAATGTCACTGACTGAGGCGTAAAACGACATTCATTCAGACGTGGTTTCTAGGCTACGGGTCATCACATCGAATGACGGTGATGCTGCGCACGTGTGAACCGGTTTGATTGGTTCCTCCCACATTAAGCTGGTACGTCGTGATACACCTTAACTGAAATACTGTTCAAAGCGGCGTTAAACCAAACTCACTCACTCACTCACTGAAACCTGACCAGCTATCACAATTCGTCTTGTGTTGCCAGGTTACGAGCAAGCAGGAAATGCTTTGCACCCATTCAACTTTCCTGCTACAAAAATGAACGTGTAGACATTTGTTTTTTGGTAGTTAATATCGTAGCCATCGTCCTGGGTTTTCATTTTCAAAACCATGCTGTTTTGAAGGGTTATTATAAAGTTTTGGAAATCAAGTTTTGTCCTTCTGTAGTTTATGTCAAAATTGACAAAAATTCCGTGAAAAGGAGCTTTGGGCCACACTATCCCCCGTGACGCTGTATCGTATTTGAAATCACGTTAAAAATCAAATTAGGAAATAATAAATTTTGCTTCTCTGCAACAGCTATGAGACCATCTTTTCAACATGTTCACTTCTTTTTCCCGAGTAGTTAGTTATTGTCTAATCTCTCAATTTTCCAACCTCCAGCGCATATTCTCCTTAAGATTAACCAGCATCTCCATCAAATCACTCAAACTCCATCAATGTGATGGTTTCTAAGGACTTTGCACTGTACGACCTCCATAAGTACTACGGCTATAAACGCACCTCTTCAAACTCGTTCACCGTAGACCCCGTCTCCGTAGTTTTGGATATGGTATAGTCACTGTGTGATTAGCTAGAATCATTAACTGCTTTTCAGCTAAGCCAGTAATTGATTCATCTCAAATGCGTGTATACGAGTGTGGTATTTTATCATTAATATTCTAGTTTAGGGAACAAAATGAGTATTAGTATATTTGATTTTTTTATAAATATTGCAATAATTAAAATTTCAATTGTGTAACAAGAGTATGGTTTTACGCCGCTTTTAGCAATATTCCAGCAATATCTCAGCGGGGGGCACCAGAAATGGGCTTCACACATTGTACCCATGTGGGGAATCGAACCCGGGTCTTCAGCGTGATGAGCGAACGCTTAAACCACTAGGCAAGCCAACCCATCCCTCGCATCCTTTAAGTTATTCCATTGAATATACACATGATCACAAAATGGGTTAATGATTAACGAAAATATTCAAAGTCTGACTGTCTAAGTATGTAATATTAGCGTTGTATCATTCATTTCTTTTCCAGAAAACCGAAACGACATGTTTAAGCGTGCCGACGTTGCCTTTGTGTCCATACCCAACACCAGACTTCGTCGACGGCAGGTAGGGAAAATTTACCGTTATTTCATCTTCTAGCATGTTCTTCCACACATGAGTGGTAATGGCGGTTTGTGTCTGATATCGCATCTCCAAGATGAATATTCCATCAGATTCGGAGTCCTGATGTCTAAAACGCGGACAGGATGGTAAACCCATGTTGTTTCGCTCGTCGACCGGCCCCGCTTTACAAAGCGACGTTAGCGCTAAGACTGTCCTAAGCCTAAGCTACAGCATCTACATTCGATCACTCGTAGTGCTTACGTCGCTTTGTGGAGTCGGACCAAGGACGGCATACACATATTATGTTAAAGTAGAATTAGATATGGACTGGAGGTCTGTTTGGAATGGCACGACGCCTTTGCGGACTAATACATTTTAATTATTTCGGCTGTGTTGAAATCTGAGACCTACCTAGTGTTATGTATATTCTATCTGTTGAATAGTTCATGTTGTTTATCACCATGACAAAGAATTCAAAATTTGAAGTAATATTTTTATTTAAAGTTGGTCGCCGTTATATTGCAGAAATACTACCGATGCGGCGTTAAAGTTTAACTCACTCACTTTAAAGCTCCAACGTTCATAGAGTTTGGCCTCGCTCTATGAAGGTTCATTCTGTATTTAACTCGTACAATTTGCTTGTTTGTTTGTATGTTTGTTGTTTAACGCCGCACTTAGCTAATATTACACCTATATGACGGCGGTCTGTAAATAATCGAGTCTGGACCAGACAATCCATTGACTGACATCATGAGCATCGATCCACGTAATTGGGATACGATGACATGCATCAACCAAGTCTGCGAGCCTGACCATCCAGTCCCGTTAGACGCTTTTTACGACAAGCATAGTCGCCTTTTACGACAAGCATGGGTTGCTGAAGACCTGTTTTACCCCGGATCTTCACGGATGTGAAGTCGAACGCGTGAACATTTGGTTATTAAGTTCATAGTGAAAGTCATTTCTTAAGTATGATGTCAATACTGGCTAGTAACAGCACGTTAGACTTTGATGGAAATACCAAAATGCGGTATATCTTTCATATATCTTTGTCCATATTCTCAAACATTTCACACTAACCTAAAGAAAAAAGGATGTTTCTGATTATCGCGTGTAGGGGCACGGGTGTCCTAGTTGTCTAAAGCTCCGAAATTCGCTGTGCAGAGTTGCGTCCCTTGGGCACGCCAGGAACCTATGATCGTGGGTTCGAATCTCTTATGATTATGGAAATAGGATTGTCGCGGTCATCCTTGAAGAGAATCGTTCTACTCGAAGGATCTACATCTCGGTTTGATGCGGTGAAGATACCAAATCAGTACCCTCATCTGCTTTCTTTAATAAGTTTTGCATGTTCAAGCTAATAACGACGTGGCTAGCAGCTGTTACCTTTTGACAAGCTTCGTATGGATAGTGTTCCGTGGGAATTCCGGGTCACAATAGGTCCCCGGCCACCCATGCTGTTCGTAAGAGCCGACTGAATTGATCAGGTGGTCAGGCGTGGTGACTTGGTTGGTAGTGTGTCATTGTTCCCGCGTGGTCCGCTCGTTATATCAATCAACGGGTGGTCTGGCCCATACTCAAATAGTTTCCAGCTAACGTGATATATATATATAGCGTGAACACAAACACCCACACGCATAGACACACATACACACAAACGTACACACAAACACTACACACACTAACACAAACACACTTGACACTGTCACACACCATTCATGTAAACAAATACGCAATTAGTTTACACTATCCCCCTTTTTAACCGACATTCTGATATATCCGAAATCTTTATACTAGCTATAACCTGAGTGTTGACTTAACAATTAGACGATCGATGTGAGAGGAACTAAGACAAACGGACATTTCCAAATAAGGACATGTTTGTGAGAATATTTGCTCCCAGATTGCGAAAACCCTTGTGGCAATGAAGATCTGGTTCTTCCCATTATAAACATGGCAAATTACCATCTCGTGCCCCGTTATTATGCATTAGCTTGGAGACGAATATGTTGCTGACATTTGAAAAGTGTCCCGGTCCTTCTCCAGCGACTACAAGCAGCCCCTTTGTCCAATTTTAGCTGTAAAGATATTGCCAATTTTGGTTACGTGGGCAATATCATGTCCAGAGTTCAAGATTCCACCACTGCTACTGTTTCTACATCGGATTTCACGAGTAAAGCAAACTTCGATCCTTCAACATATCGCCAATTTGACATCAATTGTAGCACGTGGTCGTCTGCTCCGAGCGCGCGCACGCGACCTCAGATTGACAAGCAGCACGCGTAGGTAATCAATATCATCACTAAGAGTCCCGGTATCCAACTCGCCTCTCACCGTGACACAGTGATGTATTCGGCCGCAAGACTCAATTGAATCTGTTCTAAACACCAGCACCACACGTGCTCTACCGTAAACACAGTCTGGTCTGCGTTAACGCAGCGGAAGGATATCTCGTGTTGACAGGCTCGTGCAGGACCCATCACCGAGATGTGTTCTCGTCGGATGAGGAATATTCGATGACAGTGTGTAGTGCTCCCACCATGGATGAGCTACCTCCGTACGTGTGTCTGTGCCAATGTTTTGTAAATATTCTTTAGTAGATTTACCCTAATTCCCAAGTGTGCATTTCCTTCTTGGATATGTCGATGCGCAGAAAGATATGGAAGAAGAACCGCAAACTTTGTCGCGGATACACTGTGGATCATATCATTCTACCCGAGGAACTGTTAAAAGAGGTTACGGTAAGAAATTCGAAATCGCTACCTTCTTCCGAAAGTTCATATTCATAGGCAATTAAGTGCACGTAATCACATGATAAATAGCATCTATATATAATTGGTACGATAATTGTAATAACAGATGATGATGGCGTCGGATATTTCTTTCCTACATTACGTCTGGGTTTAACAATAGCATAGGGCCTGTTGTAACATCTCTCAGCTTCCAGGTATATTTAGAACACAGAGTGTTGGTTTCTCTTAAGCGTCCCCTCACAGCAGAACGGTGATATAGAGTTGTTCTAGAACATCTAATTCACACATAATGACTGATCTGTGATAAAATAACACTTGTTTGTCCTCGTTGTTAGAGCGTATTGGCAGATTAATATGAATTCACGTTCTCTCGGTGTATAAGTGTTCTTGAATTTTAAAATTCGATTAAAATTGGTATGGTGCGCTTTATTGTCATCGCCTCCGTGTGTCTGAATCGGAATTGAATGTCTTTGCTCGTTGATAATGATATGATCAATGAATTACTTTTGATGAGAATCCAGTTTTTGTTGAACAGCAATTGGCGAAATTCTGCTGAACAATTTCCTGTGGACGTCCACTCAATAACTAGAAAATCAACACAAACCTTGTTTTGTCAGAAAATTGGTAAAACTGGTTCTGGCTAAATTCATGTGGCTTGAAAACGGTCTCATAGCAAGAACTTTCAAAATTTGAGAACTGCCATATTTGCAGAATGTGTGAAATCAATACGGCGACATTCAACATTGCCAAGGCTGTAGGAACGACAGTACGAGTTCTACGACGATAACACAAATGTAATGCATTAAATTTAATATGCATGTATAATTATTTATTGTGTTATAGGCCGGAGGACTTGAATACTCAATAAACTCTGCCTGTCTGTCTGTCTGTATGTCTGTAATATAAAGGGAGGACAACAGTCACTAAATAATTTACAAAGTTTAAAAGAGGTTATCCTATCCTTCAAAGAATTCCCATTTATATATAGAATTCACCTCTTGTTATGTGTATGGTGTTTAATGTCAAAGGTATTGTGTTCTCGTTATATGTAAACGATAAAGCACTCATGCATAATATATACCTACAATATTCTCTTGATATTTACCTCCCACAGCAGATAGTGTTTCTTTGGTGTTAGTATTGCATTACACAACGCATGGCCCTTTTCTATATGATGACTGCCAGCAAAGACTATCATGTCTTGTCCCTAATGGCTGTAACCCCTAACCGCTATTGAATATGAGCTGCGGGACCAGTCCTTTAAAGAAACTAATATTTCAAAGCCAGTTCCAGAGAGACAACCCCGACTTGCCATAACAGCCTCTATTCATATACAATTTGATTTAAAGCTGACTTCTTTGTCTCTGTGGTGGAGACCTGTTCATTTACTGCAAACACAAGGAATAACCTTCTCAATTTCCCGATTAACATGACAGCCATTGTGAAGCAAAAATGTTCGTGCCCGACATGGGAATTGATACACATTACGACGTACAAATTGTTTTTAGGACATTGGAGATGTACAACGCTGTCCATGTTCATCAGTGTTCCTTGCATCCTTCCATCCTTCGAGACCTCTCATTTTAACTGCATCTCCACGAAATCAGCCTATTTACGTGTGGAACAGCAGTTGTAGTTCCTAAGCACTGATTACCACTGTCTATGTTTCTATGAGGTAACGTAACCAATTACAGCAATATTATGTCGGCGTGTCCTTGTTTACCGTTACCAAGCAAGCAATTATCCGCTGATATCAACGTTTGCTTTCACAACGGACTGTGTTTTATGACAACCGACGTTATTTATTCAACACACGCAGTATAATGTGCAATGGTATCTGTTTCTTGCATCAAGTGATCTGGAGACGTTGTTGTCGACGTTCCTACGTGAGCTTGGTTATACAACGTGGGTTACTTAACAGCATCTTCAGACACGCATCACAGTAAGGGCTACATCGCCGCTAAGCACGACAACGACGTTCAAGGTGTATGTAATGCAGTGGCTTACTAGGCAGGGACACTGTCCGTTAGGCAATTATCGCCGGGATTTGCATCAGATTATACAAGTATTGAGTCGGTATAGCTTTAAGTCCTTAAATGAGACGAAAGGCAGGGTTTGTTGGGACACCTGCTTGCCTTCCCGCTTACGTCACAATCCCTCAATAAGTGGTGTAGTTGATGCCATTATCCCACACCAACGACTTGAACGTCTCAATGGGACCCAGCCAGGGTCGGCACTAACTGTCTTTGA